AATTTTAGAAAGGATTTAATTTCAAACGAGTTCTTGCTAATTGACCAGTTTTACCTATTCGGCACGACATTTTATATATATATATATATATATATATATATATATATATATATATATATATATATATATATAATATATATATATATAAATATGTATATATATATATATATATATATATATATATATATATATATATATATATATATATAATATATATATATATATATATATATATTATATATATATATATATATTTATAAATGTGTGTGTGTATGTGCAAAACAAGCCGCGGGGGATGAAATTTTTTACGTCGAGATGTTTCATAGTTTTTAATGCTTCATCACGAGCTATGCAATAATGCTCGAGCTGTAACGGTAGGTTAAGGGAACATTTTCTCAGGGAAAGGTAATGTGTCCATGCTGGCCTCTTCCGCCTTAGTAAAACGTCCTTAGGCTGGCCAGATTTTCATTGTAAGGTACAACCAGTACAATTTTCCTGGAAGGTACTTTCCTAGGATGAGTTTTCTAGAAAGTCGTCGTAGTTGATAATTAATCCTTCTCACCAAAATCCCTGGGATGTCTCAATTTTGTTAAATATCTTTCATCATATAAATGCTCCTGGCTATAGATACACAAAGCTCTCAAGAACACTGTAAGGTAAACACTTCTTTTAGTCCTAGAATGTGTGCTGACACATTGATAGACTCCCTGTGAACTGTAAATATAAAGCTCCTGTCAATACGCTGGATTAACACATCTAAGAAACATAATATGTCGTCTATTTCATGCTCCGATGTTTCACTCGTCTCAGAACGAGTCCTGCCGATCGGCAACGTCGTAGTGGGGAATTCCGGGAAGTTTAGCATCCCCAGTGGGCTGTTGTGGGTAAAAGTATGCCTTTGTCTAGTCTCAATTTCTCTGTTTCTGTTCTTGAAGCTATATTGTAATAGGTAGCAAATAGTAATAAGTCTATTCAGGTTGAGCTGCACAAGGGTACGGGTACGCAAGTTTAGGTGATTGCAATTGTCATATATAAGAGCATAAGTACGAGTTGCCAAGGATGGCTCAAGAAGGTCTGTTGGAGTTATCAATCACCACTGAGGTCCCAATGGTGGCAGACACTAGGGTTCTTAAAATATCTCTTAATACACAAGTGCAGGTGATTGCAACTATCACATATAGGTGATTGCAAGTTTCATACATAGGAACATACATGAACCACCCAAGATAACCCAAGTCAGGGAAAGTTGCTTGTTGCCACTGGGGTCCTAGTGAGAGGAGACATTCAGGCTTCCTAGAATATTTGGGATTACAGGTGAATAGTTACAATACCTGTGATGTGTAAACAAGTCTCTGTGTTGATCAGGGTAGGTAAATACTATAGGGAGGTTACGAATATACGTGTTATTTGGTGATGAGAAATGATCGGATTACAAAGGAAGATTGAAGTATTTTCAGGGTATGTGGAATATTCAGGATACGTGGGATATACAGGATACTAAGCAATATTCAGGATTTTCAGTGATACGGAACATATAGGATTTTTGAAGGCAATATTAAGAAAAGTGTGTAGGGAGTTTTCTGAACTGGAGCTTATCCGGACGTACGGTAGTTTAAGCTGACAACGAGCATATTTGACTCTTATTAATATAGAGTTTACATAAAATCCAAGTGTATGAGTATTAAACACTTGGGCAACGTAATCTCATAAGACACTTGACCAGGAGACAGTGCTTAGATGCAGCTTAGGGCTGGCTATTAATTTTCCATATTATTCTGAAGCATGCATGCTGTAAACCCTCCACCTACCCAACATGGGGCGTAAGAGGACAGAATACTGAAGATTTCCATTCCCCGTGGCTTGTTGTGCATTATTAAGAACCCATGCCTGTGACTGTTGTTTATATATATATATATATATATATATATATATATATATATATATATATATATATATATATATATATATATATATATATATATATATATATATATATATATATATATATATATAATTATATATAATAGAAGTGAAACACGAAACAAGTGGTTTTTGAATCATTTACCAAACTGCGGCAGGCCGGGATTTGACCCCACGACATATTGTATCGCCTCAAGTGGCCACACAGTGTACATGTCACCTTACCAAAAGAACCATCGATCCTACAAAGAACATGAGCCTAGCGAATTAGGCTTGTTTCACGCTGCGAAGACACTCGTGGCAGTTGTATGCTCAAGGATTAATTTCAGCCTCCTGTTTGAATGAGCAGAGCTAGGTGTTGTACCGTGATCCGAGGACATACGATGATGTGGGTGCTTCAGAGCTAATTTCATCCTCCTGGTTGATCAGGCCCTGATCCACCGGAAGGCCTGGTCATGGACCGGGCCGCGGGGGTGTTGATCCCGAAATAACCTCCAGGTAACCTCCAGGTAACCTTCTCCCCGTTTGGTGTACTAGTCTCTACGAGCAGTATATATACAGTATTGTAACGACGAACAAGTGTATTTAAACAAAACCATGAGGCGGACTAAAACAACACGGGTTCGATTCCTCGGCTAGTAGCAGTGTTGATTAAATACTACTTGTTCGTGGTTACAATACTATATATACTGTTCGTGAAGGCTAGTACACGGAGCGGGGAGTAGGATGAAATTAGCTATAAAGCACCCACACCATCGTATGTCCTCGGATCACGGTGCAACACCTAGCTCTGCTGGGTGCTTGATTCTTGAATGGTCCCGTGGGTCAGAGCGTCGTAGAATTTTCACTCACCATGAGGAGGGCTAAAACAACAAAGGTTCGAATAATCGTTAAGTCGCAGTGTTTTATTATATATTATATATAATATATATATATATATATATATATATATATATATATATATATATATATATATATATATATATATATATATATATATATGTCGTGCCGAATAGGCAGAACTTGCGATCTTGGCTTAAATAGCAACGCTCATCTTGCCATATAAGACAAGTGAAAATTTGTCTATGCAATAATGTCGCCAAAATCATTCTGAACCTAACGAAAAAATATATTTCACAGAGTTTGTTTAGTATTAAATTATTGTAAACAAATCTAAAATATATTTAGTTCGGTTAGGTAAAATAAATTGTTCTTGTTATAATAAGGTTAGGTAAATTTTGTAAGATACTTTTGGTGCAAAATTAAAAATTTTTACATGAACATTAATGAAAAAAATATATCTTTAAACGTATAAGAGAAAATTTCAGAAAGGACTTAATTTTAAATGAGTTCCTGCTAATTGGCCAGTTTTACATATTCGGCACGACATATATATATATATATATATATATATATATATATATATATATATATATATATATATATATATATATATATATATATATATATATATATATATATATATTTAATGTGTGTGTGGATGTGCAAGCAACTAATTTTACTTTAACATACGTTTATGTAAGTGTGTAAGTTGGTCTATTTCCTTTCATCCTGCTTCACTCACTTCATGATGCAAGCTGCAATGTAATGTTTTGTTTAAGAGACTTACTACAATGCGCGTACGATTTATGTGATACAAAAAAAAATAGGTTCTTATAGTGGAGAGAGTAAGACTACAGATACTTCAAACAGCATAAAAGATTGTTAGATTCAGACAGACAAATAAAGCAAGTCGTTAACTGTTCCAGGTTTTTCGGCTCTGATATGTTTTTTTTTTTTTGGCTTTAATGGGAATAAGAGAGAACAGGCAGTAAACAATGTGTACGAATCATTATATATTTTTTTTACAAAACACATATTTTAGTATCATGATACAAGTTAACGTGCCAAGAGTTCAGTATAAAAATCAGTTAGGAAGTAGTCTTCATACTAATATATATATATATATATATATATATATATTATATATATATATATATATATATATATATATATATATATAATATATATATATATATATATATGTATAGGATAGTTTTTATTTTTCCGTTTTATAAGGAAACAATTTTCTGGCAAAAAATATTGTCACTTCGACGGCAGTGCCATCAACTGTTTAGCTGAAACTGAATCACTAATATTTTTTTTCAGTAATGTACAATGTATTTATAACATTATAAATATGTCCCACTCGCAGATCACTCGAAATTCAATTTCCATAGTGAACATTAACTGGGCGATTTTTTTTTCATTTGCTTTTGCAAATAAATTCTTAAGTCAACAGCAAATATTGTGTGACGCTCTGGTCATGTGACTAGAACGACCTATTAGCTACAACGTGTAGCATAGGTAGCCGTTTGAGGGTAAGGAAGCAATAATGGCGGTCTCTCCATCTGTCCTTCCCTAATACTTACCGTACATAAATATAATATATTTTCTCGGAGATGCGGGAGGAAGGGGAAGGAAGCCTTCCCAACAGCTGTGGCTGTTGGAAGATTTGCTGCGCTGCTCATGACACTTAACTAATTTGCTGTGTCCGCCACGTGAACCGCGACCTCTTGTCGCAGAATGTAATCTAGCAGTTTTACCCCCTCTGTTTATCTGTCAGCTTAATTTCATTTTCTAATTTCGGACGGGTTGACCGTATTTAATATTTTCATCTGCTTTAAACACACTGTAATAGCGTGGTAAATATTTTTCATTATACTAAAAATTAGTTTTTAGAATGAAGTAAATAAAGCTGTGGAAATATATTTTGTTCTATGTGATGAAAAGCGCAATTTTTAGATATTAACACTTCGAAATTTCATTTTTCTACTGAACACGTCATTTTTTTACAAGTTTGCCTAATTATTATAATTTACCAGTTTGTGGCGGAAGTAGAGACGGTAGCTGAGCAGAGATGCAGTCTAATCGAGCTCTATTTGAGGTGATTTACAATTTCGAATCGAAAAATTTGCTCTGTTAGTTCAGCTTCTGGCTTTGATTAACGATTATTGTTTGTGTATATTATGGCAGCGTTGGGCAGAAATGTTGCATGAGGAGCTCAAGATTCTGGAACAAAAAGAAAACGGGGTGCATGGAGGACTGCACTCGTTTTGGGGGTCATTTAAATTCTTTCCATGTGATTTAGACGGCGCTTTCTTGGTGACTAGTAGCTAGGAAGGTGCCCACAGCTCGCGGGTGAGGTGGACCACCTTCCCGTAACCTCTCTCCGCCCCGACGTAGCGTCCCGTACACGCTCGCACCATCGTCTCGCCCCATCGTCGACGCTTGGCAGGGATGATGTCCCCGGACGGGATGCAAAACGCCCGCCAGGTCATGCAGGGAGCTGGTGGCAGTCATGCATCCTTCGGTTATCTCATGTCCCATGTCCCGAGGGTCCACCATGATCTGGGACATATGGGAGGGGTAGGCGAGGTAGGGGTGTGAGGCTAGGCTGCTGTATACGACAGGTTCCTCTCGACGTCTGATGGTGGAACTGAGGACGCCTCCAGACATCACCTCGACGTACTCCACATCTACTCCCTGAAACACAATAATATATTATTGAGCATCACTTTGCATTCGTTTTGTGCCAAAATAAGAAAGAAAAATAAAACACGGTACGGGTGGGACATGAACTCGAAGTGAGTCGTAAACTTTCAGGCCAGCGCTTAAGCCACTGGACCAGCTGGCTACAATAAGATTCATGCAACCAAGGTATATTTATTCATCGTGGGGAAGTTAACATGGGTCACACTGTGACCACAAACTAGTTTGTTTGGATATGTTTCATTACTATTTCGTGAGTTTTGTGCCTCTACTTAGTATGCCTTGCATGATCCTCGTGGATGCTTGGATGCTGTACGACCCCTACTTGTTTAGCATCTTCTTTCCTTTCTTTTGAATGTAATAATCTACGTATAGCGTACATATATAGCAGTATTCTTATTATATTCATCGGGAAGCATTATTCTGCAAGAGCCATAAAACGCCTTGAGAATGAGAAGTAATCAGATTTAACCTAAGACAAGGGAAAGCTGCTCAATTCTGTGGATCAAGAGCCCTTCGTTGGCATGGCACCACTTCTCGAGAATATTGTAGTGCAAGCTCAGCTTATCTGAGAGAGAAAAGGTTTTCTCTCTCTCCTGGTGAAAGACTGATGCATCCTCTACTCGTTGCACGGAATGACCTACTTGGGATTAGTGTATCATATAAGCAATAGGTTCTACAACTTCGTAAGTATATAGGCTTAATATACTTTTGTAAAAGTCTTATATGACTCTAGTGCATCAATTCAGCACTCATTGATACATGTCACCTCGCAACACCGCTCTTCAAATATCAGCGAACCACACTTTGGCTGTGATATACTCCTAGCTTTCAAGACCACGTCAGCAGAGTAATATGCCAGTTGAATCACTGAGCTTGTACTGGCTCGATCCTGGTATTCACTGGTCGTGTCAGGATCAATTAGCGGCGCTCATGGTTCCTGTTAGCTGTACCTTTGATGCCGTCCATGAGATGTCAATCATTAATTACTTTAAAAAAGACGAATGATGTTTTCCATTGTTAGGGACTAATTACGTGGCTCAGCTTTGTTAACTTACTTCAAACGACTTTTATTTACCATGTCACTCTGGCTCTCCTATCAGTTTTACTCCATTCTCCGGTGCGTGGAGCTATTATTATTATAATTATTATTAGTAAACACACTACCCATAGGGGTCATACATTCGTTGTTACGAGTGGAGAAGAACTTTGAATGCGAATGGATGTAAAGCAATGATATTTTTTAGTGAATATAATATGCAAGATTTTAAGGAGTCTTGTTGCTGATTTATGGGAATTTTTGGAAAGAGTTAATAGAGAAAAAAGGTTGATGAAGGTTAGAAGGTTGTATGGGGGTAGTGGGAAGGGTTCAGGTGCTCGTTAATTCAAACAATGGGAATTACCAAGATTATCAACAACCTAAGACATGGAGTCTACCTGGAGGGTATTCCGGGGAACAACGTCCCCGCGGCCCAGTCCATGACCAGGCCACCTGGTGGATCAGGGCCTGATCAACAATGTTGTTACTGCTGGCCGCACGTAGTCCAACGTACGAACCACAGCCCGGCTGATCCGGCACTGACTATTGGTATCTATCCAGCTCCCTCATGATGACAACCAGGGGTCTATTGGTAATTCTTCTTATGGCTGGTGTGAGGCTGTTGAACAATCTTGGGCCCCGAACACTTACTTTGTTTTCTCTTAATGTACCAATGGTGCCCCTACTTTTCACTGGGGATGTGTTGCATCGCCTTCCAAGTCTTTTTCTTTCGTAGGGAGTGATTTCTGTGTGCAGATTAGGGACTAGTCCCTCCAGGATCTTCCAGGTGTAGATTATGATGTCTCTCGCCTGCGCTCCAGTGAGTACAAGTCAAGTGCTTCCAGGCGTTCCCAGTAATTAAGGTGTTTGATGGAATTTATACGTGCAATAAAGATTCTCTGTACATTCTCTAAATCTGCAGTTTCACCTGCCATGAATGCGGATGTTAATGTACAGCAGTATTCCAGCCTAGAGAGAACAAGTGATTTAAAAAGGATCATCAGTGGCTTGACATCTCTTGTCTTGAATGTTCTCATTGTCCATCCGATCAGTTTCCTCGCTGATGTGATAATGGCACTGTTGTGATTCGGACATTACCACTCTCAGGTCCTTCACCCTCCACCACTCTACGCCCTAAATAACTAACATGGATTTAACGATTTACGAAATAATAATAATAATAATAATAATTATTATTATTATTATTATTATTATTATTATTATTATTATTATTATTATTATTATTATTATTATTATTATTATTCAATAAGCCCTAAGTAAAATGGAGCATACTTCGGCAACACTTGAAGGCTCTATAAAAGCTACTATAAAACAAAAGTACCTAAGTGGGCGCAGCAATAGCTGGTAATGCAGTAGTATAGATGACTTGGGGAGGATGCTGGAAGTACAGCAATTGATCACAAATACTCTGTGGGGTTGTTGGATGCACAGAAGGCAGCAACAACAGCCTGGGAGGTTATTGGAGATACCGCAGACATCAATAACAGTTTGATAGGCCAGAAACTGCCCTACGATTAGTGTACGGAAGATGACTCCCACGGAGGCACAGCAACCACACAACGTACACTTTATTGTGAGCAAGCCACACATGAACACAATGTTGATATCCTGCTAAATTACTGATACTACTTTCTGGTCCACTCACGTCATTCATACCTTGTTGGTGTCGAGCCAAATCATGCACCCCTTCCTGTGGACCAGCCGCACCATACACACCTTGTTTGGATCCGGCAGCGTGGTAGTGACTCCAGAGACACTGTTTCCTTGCAGTATTGCCACAGCCTCCACGCACCTCGGCGTTCCCGCACCCATAGACTCTTCTACGTTCACCTCCTCCTCACCTACAGAGAAAATAAAAATATAAAGTATGTGTGTGTGTGTGTGTGTGTGTGTGTGTGTGTGTGTGTGTGTGTGTGTGTGTGTGTGTGTGTGTGTGTGTGTGTGTGTGTGTGTGTGTGTGTGTGTGTGTGTGTGGGTGTTTTAATAAGTACAGCATTAATAAGCTGTAGAAAATAATTATTTTGCGTGAATTATTTATAGGCAGTTTAGAATGCTATTACTTAAAATATCAGCTTTGTTATTATTATTATTATTGAAAATAGTTCAACCCATAAGATTTAGCGATTCCTCATGGAAAATGTTGAGTATTCAGGCATGATCGAAGTCAAGTTAGGGGGTAGCACAGGTTCCTTTGATCAAGAAGCCCTGAAGCCTCCCAGTGAAACAGAGACCCTGAAGCCTCCCAGTGACACAGGGACCCTGAAGCCTTCCAGTGACACAGGGACCCTGAAGCCTCCCAGTGACACAGGGACCCTGAAGCCTCCCAGTGACACAGGGACCCTGAAGCCTCCCAGTGACACAGGGACCCTGAAGCCTCCCAGTGACACAGGGACCCTGAAGCCTCCCAGTGACACAGGGACCCTGAAGGCTCCCAGTGACACAGGGACCCTGAAGCCTCCAGTGACACAGGGACCCTGAAGCCTCCCAGTGACACAGGGACCCTGAAGCCTCACAGTGACACAGGGACCCTGAAGGCTCCCAGTGACACAGGGACCCTGAAGCCTCCCACTGACACATGGACCCTGAAGCCTCCCAGTGACACAAGGAACCTGAAGCCTCCCAGTCACACAGGGACCCTGAAACCTCCGAGTGACACAGGGACCCTGAAACCTCCCAGTGACACGGGGACTCTGAAGCCTCCTAGTGGCACTGGGATCCTGAAGCCTCCCAGTGACAAAGGGAACCTGAAGCCTCCCAGTGACACAGGGGTCCTGAAGCCTCCCAGTGACACATGGATCCTGAAGCCTTCCAGTGATACAAGGAACCTGAAGCCTCCCAGTCACACAGGGACCCTGAAACCTCCGAGTGACACAGGGACCCTGAAACCTCCCAGTGACACCGGGACTCTGAAGCCTCCTAGTGGCACTGGGATCCTGAAGCTTCCCAGTGACAAAGGGAACCTGAAGCCTCCCAGTGACACAGGGGCCCTGAAGCCTCCCAGTAACACAAGGACCTTGAAGCCTCCCAGTGATACAGGGACCTTGAAGCCTCCCAGTGACACAGGGACCCTGAAACCTCCCAGTGATACAAGGAACCTGAAGCCTCCCAGTCATACAGGGACCCTGAAACCTCCGAGTGACACAGGGACCCTGAAACCTCCCAGTGATACAAGGAACCTGAAACCTCCCAGTCACACAGGGACCCTGAAACCTCCGAGTGACACAGGGACCCTGAAACCTCCCAGTGACACGGGGACTCTGAAGCCTCCTAGTGGCACTGGGATCCTGAAGCCTCCCAGTGACAAAGGGAACCTGAAGCCTCCCAGTGACAAAGGGAACCTGAAGCCTCCCAGTGACACAAGGACCTTGAAGCCTGCCAGTGATACAGGGACTCTGAAGCCTCCCAGTGATAAAGGGACCCTGAAGCCTCTCAGTGATAAAGGGACCCTGAAGCCTCTCAGTGATAAAGGGACCCTGAAGCCTCTCAGTGATAAAGGGACTCTGAAGCCTCCCAGTGATAAAGGGGCCCTGAAGCCTCCCAGTGATAAAGGGACCCTGAAGCCTCCCAGTGATAAAGGGACCTTGAAGCCTCTCAGTGATAAAGGGACCCTGAAGCCTGCCTCACAGGCATCAAGGAAGGGGGAGTACCTGATCAATAGCCCTTCACAAGCATAAAGGTACCTTTATAAGCCCTACTTGTCAGGCGTGAGGTAGTCATAGTGCACCAACCACTCTGGCTCCAACGCTTCGTTATATATATATAAAAATATATATATATATATATAATATATATATATATATATTATATATATATATATATATATATATTATATATATGTATATATATATATATATATATATATTATATATATATTTGTATATATATATATATATACATATATATATATATATATATATATATATATAATATATATTATATATATATATATATATTATATATATATATATATATATATATTATATATATGTATATATATATATACACATATATATTTATAAATATAGTGCCGAATAGGTAAAATTGATCAATTAGCAAGAATTCATTTAAAGTTAACTTTTCTAAAATTTTCTCTTACTTTTAAAGATATATTTTCTTATTTAAGGTAATGTAAAATTTAATTTCTTTCCAAAACAGCCTTAAAAAAATTACCTAACCTTATTATAACAAGCGCATTTTAATTTAACCTAATCCACCTAAATATATTTTAGATAAGTTTACAATAATTTAATAAACAAACACGATGAAATATATTTTTTCGTTAAGCTCAGAATAATTTTTGCGAAGTTACTGTATACACGAATTTTTGCTTGCCTTATTCGGCAAGAAGAGCATTGTTATTTAAGCCAAAATCGCAAGTTTTACTTATTCACCATGAGGCAGACAGACAGACAGACAGACAGACACACACACACACACACACACACTGCTCATAAAACACCAATGGGGATTTGAGGAAATGGAAGGCATGGACATGATTGGAGAAAGAGACTACATTGTAGGTACAATTCAGTCCGGAGAACATAAAGTAGTCATTGGAGTGATGTATAACCCACCACAGAACTGCAGGAGGCCAAGAGAGGAGTACGAAGAAAACAACAGGGTGATGGTGGACACACTGGCTGAGGTGGCAAGAAGAGCTCACTCGAGCAGAGCAAAGTTACTGGTAATGGGCGATTTCAACCACAGGGAGATCGACTGGGAAAACCTGGAACCACTGGGGGTCCCGAAACATGGAGAGCCAAGATGATGGATGTGGTACTGAAAACCTCATGCATCAACATGTCAGGGACACAACCAGAGAGAGAGGGGAGGATGAGCCAGCAAGACTGGATCTTGTGTTCACCCTGAGCAGTTCAGACATTGAGGACATCACTTACGAGAGGCCCCTTGGAGCTAGCGATCATGTGGTTCTGAGTTTTGACTATATAGTAGAGTTACAAGTGGAGAAGGTAACAGGAACTGAAGGGGACAGGCCAAACTATAAAAGGGGGGACTACACAGGTATGAGAAACTTCCTGCAGGAGGTTCAGTGGGACAGAGAAATGGTAGGAAAATCAGAAAACGAGATGATGGAATATGTGGCAAAAAAGGCAAGGGGGCCGGGAAAGTTTTTTCCCCAAAGGGAAACAGAAAATATGGAAGCCCAAAACGAGTCCGGGGTTTACCCGAAGGTGTGGGAGGCAAAAACTAAGTGAAACAGAGAATGGAAAAGGTAAGGAGGCATGGACCCAGGAAAAAAGGAGATTAGTAAAGAGCCAGAAACGAGTATGCGCAGTAAGGAGGGAGGCCCGCGACAGTATGAAAAGACATAGCATCAAAAAGTAAAATTTGACCAAAAACTGCTGTTTTCCAATTGGGAGGAAACAACAGAAAAAGCCCAGGTGATAAGGCGAGGAAAGGAAGGGGAGAACTCACAAAAAAACGATCAAGAGGTAGGGGAGTCAACAGGGATTTAAGGAAGTATTTACAGTAAGACGGGAAAGGGACTCGGGTGGACAGCCCAGAGGGGGAAACCCCCAGAAGGAATCACCAAAAAGTTTGGGACACATAAACAGATGAGTGGAGGTGAAGAAACTGCTAAGGGACATGATCCCTCAAAGCAATGGGACCGGACAACATCTTTGGGGGTCCTTAGAGAGGGAGCAGATATGTTGTGGGGTGCCATTTACCACAATCTTAAACACATCCGGAAACTGGGCAACTAACTGAGTAGGAAGACGGCAAATGTTTTCCCCATTTTCAAAAAAGGAGACGAAAAAAGAGGCATAAACTATAGACTGTGTATTGACTGATAGTATGAAAAAATTATGGAGAAGTTTATCAGGAGGAAGTGGGGAGCCCCTGGAACGGAACAGGAGTATAAATCCCAACCCAGGATTCCCGGGAAAGGGGAAAATCGTGCACAAACCTTCTGGAGTTTTAGATAAAATAACAAAAGAAGACAAGAGGAGAGGGGTGGGTTATTGCATCTTTTTTGGCTCAAAAGGCCCTTTGACACGTTCCTCACAAGAGATTATGCGAAGCTAGGCATAGGGCATTAACGGGAAGGGCACTGCAAGGATCAGAGAAACTGACGGGGGGAAAACAAGAGTCATGGTACGAAAAGATGTATCACGTGGGCACCTGTGACGAGCGGGGCCCCACAGGGGCGGTCCTGGGGACAAGTGTATTTTTGGTATATGTGAACGACATGACGGAAGGGTAGCCTCAAAAAGTGTCCCTTTAGCAATGATGTGAATTTAATGAGGGAATTAAATCTATGAGGACCAGGCAACTTCAAAGGACTGGACAGACGGACACCTGGCCCAGCAAATGGCTTCCAAATTTTTAATCCTCCCAAATGCAAAGTCATGAAGAAGGGGGGGGGCACAAAAGCCACAACAGAGTATAGGTAGGTGGCCAAAGACTGCAAACCTCACTCAAAGGGAAAAGATCTTGGGGTGGTAAACACCGACTGTCCCGAAGCCACATCAATCAGAAAACGCTGCAGCATTGGGCCCGGGGAAAACCTGAGACAGCATTCCGATACCTTAGTAAGGAATCTTTCAAGACACTGTACCCCGTTATGTCGGGCCCCATAGGGAGAGGCAGCACCTTTTGGAACCCGCACTTGATAAAGACTCAAAATAGAAAAAAGTACAAAGGTTGCGACAAGGTTGTTCCGAGCTAAGGGGGAAGTCCATGAAAAAGATTTAAGGGAAATGGCCTGCGACATGGAGGACGGAGGGTCGGGGGGGCATGATAACGACATAAAAATACTGCGTGGAAAAGAAAAGGGGGCAAGGACAGGATTTCCAGGGAGGGGACACAGAAACAAGAG